ATCGGTAAAATAATCCATGTGACATCAGGGGTTCAACTGTAATTTTACGAAGCTACGAGATTACTTTTTGTACGCAAATAAAATAAAAAATAACAACTTTATTCAACAATTCGTCTCCTCCGTGTCTCCTTAGCTCCATTTAGGAGAGTATCACATACGTAAACAGTATGCTGTTCTGTGTCAGCTGCGCCACGCGGATACGTTGTTTTCGCTGACACAGAACAGCGTACATTGTTTGCGTTCAGTGGATACTCTCCAAAATGGTGCTAGGGAGACGCGGAGGAGACGAATTGTTGAATAAAGTCGTTATTTTTATTTTATTTGCGTACAAAAAGTAATCTCGTAGCTTCGTAAAATTACGGTTGAACCCCTGATGTCACATGGATTATTTTACCGATTCGTAAAATTACGGTTGAACCCCTTGATGTCACATAGATTATTTTACCGATGTCCTTGCTACTTTTCTGGACCTTGATCGTGCTAATTACATTGCTGTCTATGGGAGGGTCAGAGAGCTCTCAGAATTCATCAAAAATACCTTAATTTGTGTTCCGAAGATGAACGGAGGTCTTATTGGTTTGGAACTACATGAAGGTGAGAAATTAATGACCGAATTTTCATTTTTGGGTGAACTAACCCTTTAAGAAAGGAAGTGGAGGAAACAATGCAACGTTGATAGGTGATTTTGCTTTGGAACCGTCAGAAAACTTTAACTTGATTTTTTTCGGAAGTTACTTTGCTGCCTTCGTCGACTTTAAACGAGTGTAGCACAGTCATTTTTCGTCCGATTCCAACAAATCATATATCATTTTGAAGGTCTTTTAATGGAGAATGTGACAATAAAAATAACTTGTTTTTGAAAATTTGCTCATTGTGACTCATTTTGCCAGCACAGGTCACATATAGAGTGAGCAACATTTGCCACCTAGGCAACATTTTTAGGAATCATTGGCACAAATTTTGCTTGGACAAATGATTTTGGTGAGGAAACATAATTTTGTTTAAAAAAAAAGTTTATTTGATTGATTTTAAACAATTTAAATCAAATAATGATTAGAACATATTAACCACACCTAGAGCTAGCGGTTCTAGTAAATATTTTTATCCAAGATTGTGTAGCTAAGAGACATGGTGGAATAAGTACCTTGTCAATTTCATAAGATGGTTAGAATATAAAATATTAAGAACAGAAATTGTCATTAAATAATTATTTAATTACATGTCATCTTTCTGCTAGATGATCCCTGCTAGTCCCTATGATGTAAACAGTTTTGTGTCATAGCTAATGTGTTATTTTGTAAATATTTGTGTATAAAATATATGCATTATGAATGAAGTATTTCAATATAAAAATGTAATACTATTATTAAATATATAATATATTATTATAATGTAATATTCAAATATTATTATAACACTGGATTAATGGCTGTTTAAAAATTCAGTTTTGCCATCGCGGGAATAAATTACATTTTACTAAATATGTTCAAAAAGATGCAAGCATACTAAATAAAAAGAAAACAGTTATTTTAAATTGTAATTATTTTACAAAATAACAGTTTTTACTGTATTTTTGAATCAAACAAATGCAGACTGGGTAAGCATAAGATATGACTTTCAAAAATGTGGAAAAATACTTAAGAATCTTCATATATATATATATATATACACACATGTATCTACAGTATGTATTTCAGCATTGGGTCATTAGCTTAGCAACATGAACTTTAGTTGCTCTTCACATGAGAAGTGCTATTTTTGTGGTATGCTTGAAAGTGTTCAGTTGCTATACAAAAAAGTATTTCATTATCAGTCACGATGGTTCATGATGGTTAGGATGCTACTTTTTGTTGAAAGTAAACAGAGTTTGGGTCAGATCTAAACTGAATAGCTGTGCAAATAATACTGAAGTAGGTTTCTGCAGTTGTCTTGCCATCAAAAATATATGGATAGCAACTCATCTATTTTGATAAACATGCGACGTGAGATGCACATGGAAATTCACCACAGCTTGGTGAATTTGCATGCTGGCAGGTCACCGCTTGTCCTGTTTCACTCTGTGTTTGCTTTATTGTTTGTACAATGCTGGCTATTGCACTTTGCTAATGTGGTAAAAAAAAACATAAAATGCTCCAGCTTTTATAACCGAGACCAGTAGATTCAGTTTTCTTCAAATTCATAAACATGTTCTGTGTGAAAATATGAAATTAACCCCACTTATATCTAGCCTACTGTACATATTTTTATTCACTCTGTATATAAATAGTATAAATAGATGTAAAAAGCAACTGAAATCTCTCTAACAATTGCTTGGTACTAACATTCTTTATTGTGTTAAATGAATGTTTGCTTTGTCATTTTCTGAATTGTAGCTGTCAGTCAAGGTGCTTTATCTGCATCGGGGACCCCGGTGACGTATGAGAGTGCCCTGTGATGTTTCTGGAATGCTTCTGGGAAGTGACAACCCGACGTCCAAGGCTGCTGATGATCCTTTTTGTCTTCAAAGTGGATTCTCAAACTCATTATTACTGCAACCCTCTGAAGTCAGACTGCAAAAGTGGCAGACTCGCTTTTCAGATGAAGGAACCCAACTCTTATTTTTTTACCTTCCAAGGTGGATGAAAACTCTCAAATCACTCGCAATATTCCTTTTACAGGTGGGATTTTGAAGGATCGAACACTATAGGGATCATTGTTAGCACTATCAAGTACAAAAACATGTTTATGAATATAATTTTTTTCTAACTGGCTTATGTTTGTGTTGATAGTATTTGTTACATTAGATCTATTACAGATGAGTCTGCAGTGACTGCATATCAGTGTTACAGAAAGTTGTGTAGTGGTCAGTGCTGTCATGACTATTTTCGGAATGGAATACTATCTTACTATTTACTGAGCACTCTGCAGTATATACTGTATACAGCCTTCTGTAGTTTTATATGTATATTCACAGCTTGTCTATAATATAATTAGTGCTGTCAAACGATTATATTTTCAAAATATATACTGTATGTGTGTGTATTTATATATATATATATAAATACACACACATACAGTATATATTTTGAAAATATAATCGTTTGACAGCACTAAATATAATATAATATAATGTTTAAGTCCTCAAAGCCTTTAGAGAAACCACAGATGTCAATTTTATTATGATTCAAGTATAATGTGTAAATACATTCTTAAAGTATATGTATATTATTAAGCTTACACTGTAAGTGGCATGAACTAAAAAGACAATTACATCATTAATTGCAAATAGTTACTCTGAAGCTGCAGGAAAATGACAACACTGATTGGCTGACGCATCAAAAGCCTTCACAAGTGACTATCCTGAGCTGTGACATAAAAAGCATTAAAACGGCTTAAGTAATTTCATGCTTTTATTAGCCCTGAACCAAAGAATTGGACACAGAAATATTGAGTTATACATACCTATTTCTTTCGCCATTGTCAATAGCTGACGATGGTTATTTTAAGTCATTTTTTAAACATTACATATATAAAACAAAACAAAAAAATGAACATTCTGATCAAATAACAAGGCTAGAAAAATAGGTATTTATCCATTAAGTTGACTACATTGCAGGATAGAGTATTTCATGCAAGAGTTACATTTTGGTAAATGTAGTCTTTACGTAGTGTTTATCAAAGTATTTTAGGCATACTATATACTGCAGCAATAGTAAGAATTGTGAATAGTATGGTAATAACTTCCGAACACAGTCGTGGATCAGTGTTCTGAGATTGATCAGAGTTTTTGCAGGTTTTTGTCAGCTCTGTTATACATACAATCAAATACTGCTGTAAAAATTCTGTGGTCACTTCAGAGCTCAGTTACATTTTGTGTTTACAGTGGAAGTGATTTTAGAACGTAAAGAAGGATTTTTTATTAGTAGTAATAGAATGACAAATGGTATATTTGCCACCGCATTGCACAGTTCATTGTGTTACTCTCCATGAACTATATTTATTTATTTATTTATTTAATTTATTTAGTCATTTAGCAGACGCTTTTATCCAAAGCGACTTACAAATGAGGAAATATATAACTATATTTATTTGATTTTTTTTTTCTCCATGATTGTTTTGATAAAATGTGTATTTTAATGTTATACAGAGTCTTGTGAAAGGGCATTGTCGATATAACTTATTTTGTGAATGCTGTTAGTGGGTTATGTTTACTGCTTCAAATTGACAAGGTTTTGTGTTGTGGTTTTGTTATGGTTATGGTAATGCTACATGCAGTCACTGCTAATTTAAGCAATGAAATGACTACATTTAAGACCTTATTCTTATATTGTCATCTTTATATAATAACTTTATTTCTGTGGTGTATGTGTAGTTTATTTGTAGATGTATTGCTGCAGAAAATGAATGACATTTGCCTTTTCAGTAAATGACAGGCAAAACCCCCCCATTCATATTTGAAAGCATATCTTGTTATATCATCTAAGGCAAATCAGATGTAAACAAGCAGCACTGTTACTTTCTGAGAAGACTTTTCAAGCATTGGTGTGGTAGAGTTACACCATTGTGTGTTTTAGGAAAAGTACACAAAAGAAACAAATTTAGAAAAAAATAAGTAGACTGTTGGCATGGCAACACATATCCATCACTCACATAAGCAAAACAAAAACAGCATTTAGAGGGATGTAAAAGAAGTATGGTTACCTTTTATTTTTACAAAAGTCATTAGGCACATTCCAGTTAACATACAATTAAGTAATTTTTATGAAAACACCTATGAACAGGAGCCATCTGATATGAAACATGGCACAAAAAAAGAACCAAGGGATTGTCAAATTATTCTGAACAGGAATGAATGCATACATATGCATTGCAATTGTTACAGCATGTTGGTTCAGGTGGAAGTGAAAAGAGGCCACATTTATTTGTTACATTATGATAAATATTGTAATATTTGAATAATGTATAACAATAGCTTTGACGAAACCATTTGTTACAATCTAATGCAATGTGAAACACATGTCAAGTTTGGTATCCTGCACTTGAAAACTTTCAAATAATTTAGCAAACATTGTAGAACTCTTCTAATTCTGAATAATTTTGCAGAAAATGACAAATAAGTAAAAACTACATGAACAAATCCTGTACTTCACACTGAAAAGCTAAAAGTATTTGATTTTTTATATTGTCTCAGAAAATGTCAAACACAATTTTTATCACAATGACAGCACAACAGTAATAGTAAAAGGCAACTTAACGTTAAAACTGAATCTAGATACAGTTTAAAGAACAGAAAAGACACTTTCATGGCCAAGACGACTGATTGGTGACAATAATCGCCATTTTTTACTATGGCCAAGTTATATTGCACAAAAAATCTACTACATTTGCTGAGTATAAAAAGTAAATACACCAGAGCAATGTAACACAAAGGTATATACTTAATCTGTCAGATCAACCACAATATCTTGAGCATTAAAGTCAGAATTGACAGCTATATGCGTCTCTATACCACCACAACAACAAGTTGGAAATAGATTTGGGTAAGTACAACAAACTAAATTACAGTAGGTTTTTCAGTGGAGAAAACTATAAATGTAATATGGGCCAAAGCAGGAGGGCTACAGAGTCTTCTTCTTAAGAATAAGTGGACCAACGTTGTCTCCTGTCAGCTCGTTATGCTTTATGTGTGATTTATCGCAAACAGGAAACTGCAAGATAAGAAAGAACAAATTAAATGCTGATAGTGACAGTGGTTCTTAGGCACCTGAGGCTTTTGACAAAAACGACTCACAAAGAGGAAAAGAGGAAGTGAAAAATCACACATATACATACATACATACATACATACATACATACATATATGGCAAAGTCCTTTTTTTTTTTTTTTAAATCAAATGTAAATTCCTGTCTCAGTCACATGTTCCTGGTTAAATAAACATTACTTACACTACCAGAAAACAACAAATACAATTCTATTTTATATTTTTACATTAACAATGTAATCAATATTCTGTTTATTAAAGCCAAGTATGTTAGTGTTTTTAAGCATTTTACTTTCATTCCAAAATAATAACTCAAGGCAATAACAATTTAAAACAATTTAAATTATTTGTTAACTTATGTTCAGCTATTCTTTTTAATAGTTAACTTTTGTTTAAACTTATTTTTTGAAAATTCAAAATTCAATTAATTGTTGGATTTTTCAGATCATAAGTCATCAAAGATCGGTAAATACGCAGAGATTTGCCAAGCTGATTACTCACTAAAAACTCCCACAGATCATGCTTTCACGCCATTTTAAGTCTTATTTTGAAGTAACAAAGTGTTTATATCTAAGTGTGTGAGTTGTTTACTTACGTTTTTAAAATAGTCTTCCTATTAACGCCATTATATTGTTAATTCAGACTGATTCGTGAACACGGAATGCGCAAGAACACAAGAGGTGGGATTTATCACATTATCCAATCACAGCCGATCACAACCAGTCATGTCCAATCATATCGCTATGGAGGCATTGCCTCCTCTCACGTGACTTTCCCTCATTCATTCTCAATTACCCCCCATGCTTTAGGGGGTCTGTTAAAACTCAATGGGCTCAGGGGAGGCGAGAGAGACGCAGCAGACTCACGTTGTAACTTTACCTGCTGGTGTCGCTGTTGGACGTTTTTTTTAGAAAAAAAAACGAGTGATTTACAGTACACACTTTTTAATGTTGTTTTGTAACAGTGGGGGTTTTATTTTTGAACAACGATTTTTGTTTCTCATCCAATATTTTGAGGAGACACTGCCTCCCTTACCTAGTATAATTATATAAGAATATGTAATTGTAAATATCACATAAATATCTAAAATTATATAAAAAAATATCAAAACAAATTCACATAAACAGATATACAATATGCATGCCTGGTGTGTGGGATAGGCAGATAGGAGATGAGAAATATTTATTTAAACACTTGTTGTGTTTGTTTTGACAGATGACAGAGCAGAGGAAACAGAAACAGAGGATCGGGCTACTGGGACACCCCCAACACATGAACGTGAACCCCCAGCAGCCCGCCTGAACCTCCGTTCCACCGGCCAAGTGTCCTACAGCTGTCTCCTGCAGCCATCGATCGCATCAGCCTTTCCGTGTGCGTGTGTATGAGCGTGTGCGTGTCAAGACATCACAGACATATATATGTTAAGTTTCACTACAGTTTTTTTCTTAAACGGGACATATCATATATTTTTAATTAATTTCAGAATACCTTTTCCCTCTGGTCCAATTATAATGTTATTCATAATTTTTTTTGTGTGCCAACAAGTCAATTTCCTCTACTGTTTGATTGCTTGTATCATCGCAAAATGTAAAATATATTATCGCCCTAATTCATTAAGATATAAACATTAACATCATGATTTTCTGTTCTTTTCTTTTGCTCTGAACTGCTCTATTGTGAAAAGCGCTATACAAAATTTGACTTGACTTTGGTGCTGTTATTGTATATGTTCATAGTACATTGATCTACTTTACAGTTTCTCATGATACTACCCATTTAAATCAGATACACTGTGTGTTTTTTTTCTTTTACATAAAATATTATATTTTTCTCAGGCATAGAACCTCCTACCGTTTTAGATCGCCAGCAGCGGCAGTAGCAAACATTTGGAGTCCTCAGGTCCTCTATGTTGATCTCATTCACCACTTTAGGGTTTTCTTTTTGGATCTTCAGATTTATTAGACTGTCTCTTTGCTTTTTCTTCTTGGGCAGGAAGGGCCGGA